GAGGCTGAGAAGTTGAGTGAAGAATTAGAAAATTCAGAATGTTAACAGACGGATCAGAGAGAGCCAGCCCTGCCTAGCTCAATAGCTTGTTTTTCTCCTGGACACATGTGCCCATGGTTGTGATTTTATGCTGGATACATGTAACTGAATCAACTTTTCAGCCAGCAAAACCCATCCTCATTCTGGAAACAGAATGAAGCATGTTGACAACCAATGCCGTTCTGCAAAGAGCACCATGACTTCTGGGTCTCCCTGAGTCAAAAATGGATAATTGTTCGCCTAATTAGTGTGGTACCAACCCATTTCTAACCCTCTGCCAGATGCCCCCAGGCTCCAAAGTGGCAGTCACGCAACCCTAACTCAACAGCTATCCTCAAGCCCTGGGATCTTGGCAAAGCCAAACCTGTTGCGAGAGGGCTCTCTGGCAGGCCAGAGGTATTCTTGGCCCCTCCCCATCAGCAGCCGTGGTGGCCCTTTAGTCTTCTTAGCTCTGCCTGGGGCCAGTTAATGGATCTTGAGTCCTCCACCCACAAGAGCATGGGTCCATACCTTGAGTTTGGAATAGCCTTTCTGGATATACTGTCCACATTTTTCATGTTCCCCAGAGGAAGCATAAAATTTACTCCACCAGTCAACAATTTCTTCCTCCTAAAGATAAGTCAAAATGAAAAAAAATTATTTTAAACGATGACTAGAATTTCCAATTTATGCAGGAAAAAAATGAAATAGGTAAGAGAGACAGGTACTTCTGACACAATTAAAGTGAGCTTATATATCTTTGTTAATGCACACTGCGGACAAAACATTCATGATGTTTCTGCTTAGAAGTTAGAGAAATGACCACCCCAGACAATGGGATGTATTTGGTTTTAATATCCACAGCTATACTAGATGATCTTCTTACATTCTCTATAAAATCTATTATTTTTTTTACCCCATGATATTTATATATGCAAATAAATTAAAATAAAACCTCTACTGTATGGTTTTTCCTCTCTCATTTCCCCAACTCATTTAGCCAGTGATGTATTGTAACACACTGTACACTAATCTAAGGGTTGGAAAAACTGGTTCTAATTCAAGTTCCATCTTTATGTTATAACCAAACCCGTATGTTACACACCACACTGGCTTGGACAAGTTGTTGAACATCTCTGAGCATAGATTTCTTCATCCACTGAGTGGGATAATAACAATCTGCCTCCATCTCTCCATTTATCTCAGAGAGTTGATTTGGAAATCATATAAGATCATTAAGAGGAAGAGCTTTCAAAAAGTTTAAGCGTGAAACACAAGTAGGAAGGCAGTGGTTCATTTAGACCAGGTCCCAACCTGTCATTGTGGATTCTGATTCAATCAACATGGGCTAAGACCTGGGCATCCAGAATGTTCTCATTAGTTCCCCAGATGATTCTAATGTGTAGTCAGGGCTGAGAATTTCAGGGTTTTTCTTCCCCAGTACTGGGTATTGATCCAAGGCCCATCACATGTTAGGCAAGCACTATTTTAAAAAAGTATTTATTTTTTTAGTTTTAGTTGGACACAATATCTTTATTTTATTTTTTATGTGGTGTTGAGAATTGAACCCAGTGCCCTGCGCATGCCAGATGGGCGCGCTACCACTTGAGCCACATCCCCAGCCTGGGCAAGCACTATTGAGCTAACCCAAGGGAATCTCTGGTTTTGATGGCTCTTGTTTGGGCAAAAGGGACAATAAGAGTCACCTGCAGAATATTTTCAAACTACAGAAACCCTCCCACTCAGATTATAACAAGAACAGATCCAGTTACTAGGGAGGTTTAGGCTAGAGGATCTCAAGTTCAAGAACAGCCTCAGCAACTTAGGGAGACCCTGTCTCAGCAATAAAATAAAAGGGGCAAAGTTTGTAGTTCAGTGATAGAGTACCCCTGGATTTAGTCCTCAGTACTGAAAAAAAAGCAAAAAACAAACCATCAGACACTCATTGCTTATTTTAATCTGTCTCAGAAATAGGGATGTTGCCAAAAATACAAGTGTCACCTATGATATAGCTCCTATTGAGTTTTGGGAGTGAGGAACAAAGCTCACAAAAGGCTATTTCTTATTTATGTTTGTAAATATAATATATATGCACATATATGTATATACAGGTATATACTTACATTACATGCTAACCTTTATACACATACTAAAATGCATATATATATATATATATAAATATATATATATATGAAGGTACACACTAATGTGTGTGTTACAGTTACAAAGAGTTATTTCCCCTTTATGGATCAGCAACCTCCTCCCCCTGGATTTAGAAAAATTTTATTTGTATATTAATTATAGGCTAAAATACATGAATCTTAAACCTAAAAAAAATGTATAGTTACCTTTTCCGTCAGCTGCAATGCACGTGTATGGCCAGGAAGAGGGCAAACCATATAACAGGTCACACAGATATTAGGTTTAAGACCCCGCCAACATTAGGTTCAAAGAGAAAGAGAGAAGGAGAAATTATGTTTCACTCATGCTTTATGTTTATCCACATTTTGAGACATTCTTTAAATTATTCTAATCAAGGTGTTCTCATCATTGAACACATATACATATACATTCACCCGGCTGAAAGCACAGCATGTGAGTGACTACGGCTAAGCCTTTTGTTTGTTACTGTGTGTAACTCTTTTGCATGTTTTCAGAGAAGTTGGACAGTCTCACAGTCTGTGAGAATGGTCAGCTCAGGAGAGAGTTGCGCAGCTGCTCATCTTCCTGCCCCAAACCTTTCATTCCACTTAGCACCTGAAGTATGTCCCCAACCTGGTCTAATTCTAATTCTCATCCCTTCAACAGCTCTCCTGTCACAGATGTGTGTGATTGCAATATTATCATGTAGGTACCTTTTTCTTGTTCCCGCCCCCCGTACCTATGTTATAGCACCAAATAAAATGCTCATTCGTCAGAATTGTTTTAATATGAGGATGTCAAGTTTCTCATTGGCCAAGTCTTTCCATTTGAGTTTTGCATGGAGATTTCACCCCTGATCTAGAGGCACATCCAGGAGACGTGAGAAGAGAAAACTAGAAGGTAGGAACTTGAGTTATTTTTTGGCACCTTCTGGGACATTAGCCAAGCTCACCCTCAGGGGCAGTTTGAAGAAATGCTAATTAGATTCCCTTTCAGAAATCCTAACTTCAAGTTAATTTCTAGCATGTGGAGAGAACAACTTGTTGCTAGAGGCACTTCCCACCGTGCTGTGTGAGAGGACTACCAGGTCTCCGCAGGTTTCCCTTCTGCATGTCCAGGTTGAGTTTTGTCCCACACAACAGAATTACTAAGAGTGTCAGAGAGAAAGATAGATGTGTCAGTCCTTTCTATTAGATTCATTCCAAAGCAGGATGAAGGGTTAAATCATCACAGCTGACTGAGATTTTGGAGAGAGGGGGTTTAATCACATTTATTTTCAGTTATACCAAACTGCTTCAAAGAAGAGTGTGTGCCTTTTTAAATTTTTTTTTTTTAAAGAAAGTCATTCAAGACAAGTTGATGATTTAAAAATCTAGGATTAGTATGGGAGGACTCATTTGTGCCCACTTGCTCATTATTTGTTGTAAAAGTAACAGAAGCAGCCGGTGGGAAACACTTTATTATATCTATACGGGACTCACAATCAGAGTCAAGTTATTATTAAAGGGCACAGGGGATTCTTCCCTTAGTCTTCAAACAATCTTATGTGTTTAAAGATCACCTTTCACTCCAAAATCTACCAGTAGAAAGAATCCGAAAGAATAAGAGTCTTCAGATCAAGTCCCACAGTCCCAGACAGCTTCATGCATTTTCTTATCATACATACATGCACTGTCCTTGGAGAAGCCATTTTGCTGAGTGCTGTTGACATACTGCTTAAGCACTGGAATTGGAAGGCAGTTGTTGAGATGGCATGTAGACATGTCCATGTCATCTGGCTAGCACTTGAGCACTTTGCCCCAGGTTCTTATTTCTCATGATAGTGCTGAGCCTACTTGTTAAGAGCTCTCATGAACATCACAGGGTAATGCCATGAGTATCCAGAACATGATGCTGTCACCTAAAGCCACAGTCTCCAGCCCCCAGCAACAGCATGGTTAGTTTTGACCTACTCCCTCATTTTACCCAGATGCAAGGCCTGAATTCAGTTAGTGGTAATTTATGTACATTACATATACGTGTCATGAAGGACATCAGCAAGTTTGTCATTGGCTGCTCATTTGACTTTACAGGGATGTACAATGTCTACCTGGATGAACAGGTGGGCTCAGGAGTTCCGAGGAGATTCTAATAATCCTTTCTTACCAGCACAGTGTACCTCAACTAGGTTTGAGGAGAGCAAGCTGATTAAAGTCACATATTGTGCAGCGGGAACGACTCCCATCCCCAATCCTGCTATGCTACAAACTAACCTTTCACGATGGGTTGCTACAGTAGCCTAGTCATCTGTTAACTACTGTCAATAAATGACTTAGAATATTGATGTATTCTTTTCTTTGCTCCTGGTGGTACTTAGGGCTACGGTGCACCCAGAAAGCATGCAGTAATAATTGGCTGACAACGTTAGATGGTAAAGTTGGAAGTAGATTATTGAGCAAGCTCTGACACTACCTTTTTTTCTGGAGTAATTATGAAAATCTACATAAGGAATCTTAAATATCTTATGCTTTCCTTATCCCAAGGCTACTATTGTCTTATTGAGACTGACTGGGGCTATTTACAAGGTGGACATTGTCATTTTACTCTAAGGAATGGAGAATGTGATATTTTCATTTATGACCGTGTAGAATTTCCAGATAGTAGAATCAAATGCACGGCTGCCATGGTGCTGGCTATGGAGACCACATGTAATCCGGTCCAACTGCTAGTGAGTTTAACATAGTGGGAAGGAAGTGGATTTTTTTAAAGGCACTGTTTATGGTCATAACATATTAAAGCTCAATCATGTGCATTTTTTGGCCCGTTTGCATATTAAAACATGCTGTGAGAGTTTATCTTAAATGCCAAAAGAAACAGCAAGATAGTTGGTGTTTCCTTTTTTTTCTAGGTTAAGATTTTCTTTCCTTCTTATGGAAGGGGCTGGAATGGTTTTAAAATAGGGTCTTGAGTGACTATTTCCAACTGTTTCATTACTTCAAAACCACAGTGAATATGAAGTCTCGGGTGTCCTTTATACTGACAAATAGGGACATTAAATTTATGACATTTCTGCTTCAGGAAGGAGAAAAACAAAACAAAAACCTGGGTTGCCTCATGTGTCTCTGTTCTTCTGAATGTTGCGATGCTGTTAAATTACTCCTGAAACTTGTCTTTCCAGAGAATGGCGTCCCTTGGAAGGTCCCACACCAGCGGCTCTCGGACTTGCATGCATGTATCCGAATCATCTCAGGAGGTTTGAAAATACACCGATGTCTGTGTCTGAGTGTCTCTCCCTCTTGGTGGGTGGGGTGGGGGCTGGGTGTGA